CCTGCAGCTTCCCAGGGCTGCCGGCCATGGGCCAGGACCACAGCAAGTGACTACATCAATCACTTCAGCAGTTTAATCACAACCTCCCTCTAGTTTCCCCCTTATATCAAGGAAATGGCCTGCAAATCTCACAGATGACACATTCAGGAATGAAAACCTAATCACTGCTCAGCCAAGCTGTGACAGGGCAGCGCTAAACCTTTCTGCTCAGCACTGCAGGGCACTGCTCTGCAGAAATACACCAGGGTGGCAAACCCACTCCTGCTAGTCTGGTCATGCAAGGTCCTATCTCAGATGTCCTTTGAATTCAAGCCCTGAAAGTTGTTCACTGAAAGCTTTGTCTGATATCAGAGGAAGCAAAATCATTTTACCTTCCTTTTGACTCCAGAGACACACACCAGGCAGGAACTATAAAAAGCTTTAGACACTGGATGCTAGGAATGCATGTCATAGTCTAAAATCCCTACACAGTGTCAAGCACTTAGACATTTAGTTTCATAATATGCAACACTTGTCAGTGAAAAACAGAGTGGAAGGAGGGATGTGATTTCTTTCTGCCACCCTCTAAGAGATGCCAGTGCAGAACAAAGATTCTTCACAAAGAGATCTACAGATGTGCACAGATATCTTTATCCCTCTACCTATGTATATTTTTTACATTTTAAACATGGCTCAAGGAGGAACAGCTGCCATTCACATTTAAGCTCCCTCTACCACCAAGGCAAAAGGTATCCAGAAGACTATCTAGTACCTTAGATGACATGACTTAGCCACCTCCTTCAGCTCTCTTTTGGGTAAAGCAGAAGGAGAAAGACAGCATTCAATCCTTTTGAAACTGGGCAGGAATGCAAGATTCAAAGTATCATAAAGAGAGGATAACATCAGCAAACCTGTAGCCACAACCAGCAAAGAACTGGTGTGTTTTATGGGCTTTAGTCCAGGACTCCGAGGACTCTGGGTGGGTTTGCTGGTACTGATTTGAGGTGATAATGGGAAAAAAACATCTAAGGTATTATATGGATTTTTAAAAATAAATCACACTCACAGAGGCATCTACAATGAAATTTAAGTCTCGCATGTCTGAGCCTCAGTCAGTAATGGGCCTTGTATTTATCACTATATTACACATAAACTGTGCATTAATGGATGTTTCTGTGCTCTCTCAAGGTTTGAACAAGCACTTGAAGCAAAATTGCTAGGATTTTCCAGTCCAGTATCCTGCTTGAATTAATTATTTCAGGGTGACCAAACCTGAATACTTTTTTCCTGACTTTTCAATAAATGGAAATAACTAGATTTCCAGCTGACTCAGATAAAGCTCAAAAATTTAAGGTGTTGTTAATGACATTCTTCTGGGCTGCAGGACACTTCAATTCAACTGTTTCTGCTCCATGACTGATTAATTGGTGAAATCAAATCTCTCTCATTTGAAAAAAACAAGCAAACAAAAAGAGCAAGTTAAAATATAACCCTACTTTTGGATTTAGATTCTCCTACTTAGTTTAAACAGAACTGCTGTGCCTTTTGAGATCCACTTATTACTAATATTAATATTGAGGGGGTTTTTTTATTGTACCACAACCGCTTGAAGCTAAATTATTGTTTCTAATAAAATAAAGCTTTAAATATAGCAGGTTATTTTCTCTACCCTGTCTGACATAAACTATAATCTGGGGGTTTTTTTCTCCCTTTCATGGGCACCATCTGTTTGTGACCATTAAAATCCATTTTCCATGCTGAAGGGATGGGAATTCAGAGGGATGTGTTCAGCCACTGTCCAAACAGTACTATCATTCCTAAGGGATCCATTACAGTCTGACACACCCAAGTATTTATGAGGTATAAACTGCCGGCCTAAAGTGGTGATTAATCACCCTGTGCATGGGAGACACAGACAGTGACAGAGCATCTTGTGGCTGAAGGGAGAGGGGCTGGAAAGGGTTTAAGATTTTTTTTTTTTTTGAATGAGCAGTGTTATATGGCATCAGGTTTTTCCCCCTACGGCACCTCCTCGTTTCCCAGCCATTTGCTCCGACAGTTCTCACAGCCAGTGTTAAATTAGCAGATGTCTTGGAACTGGACACCAAATGAGACAGCTACAAGGCCACCTCTTCTCTGCAGCATTGTGTCTCTGGAGTCACCACCCACTCGGTGTCAAAGCAGAGCATCCAGCTGCTCTTCTTGGTGCAATGCTCCTTTCAGGGCTGTTTGAGGGACTGGGTGTAGCTCTGAACCTGACTTGACTGAGCACTCTCATCACATCCAGGCACAATCAGAGTAAAACAGTCATGTGAATGAGAATTCCTGCAGACTTTGTTTCCTGTTATCTCTGAGGAAAATTGTAACCCCCCATTACAAAACTGATGTTGTTATAAAACTGATAAGAAGCAACATTGTCTCTGAAAAAGTCAGAAAATACAGCAAATGGTGTTTTTCAGTTGAGATTTAATACAGGAGACAGATAATTTCAAAACTTTTTCTCCATATGGCAGGGGAACACATCACATAGTTCTCACACCCACATGAGAAACTGCATAAGGGAACAAAGAAAAAGAAATACAAAAGATGGTAAAAAATATAAGTCCAAAGACAGTTAGAAAATTGGCTCCTGAACACTTCTGAGGCTTTGTGAAGTCAACAGACTACTGTAAAATTTAGATTGAATTTATATCAAAATCCAAAAAAATCACAACCACTGAAGAAACCATCTTATTTTTATACTTGCCAGCCTAATATCGTAGTTCTGTGCATGCCCAGAAACTGTCTTGTCTAAGCTGTGCTTCTCAGTGCTCCCTGGAGATTTACAAACCCTTTGGAGATTTACAAACAAAGCTCCTGCTGCTTACCTGCCCAGGGGACCCAAGCTCACAGGCATTCTCAGTGAACACCAACACACATCCACAGACACAATTCTGTCTCATGAAATGCAAAATAAAATAATGGGAAAACCATGGACAAGCTGGAGTAGTAGATCTTAATTCTGATAGATTTAATAACCATTGTGCATTCAGTGAGGCATCAAATGACAGATGTGCACAGATCTGGGACTGAAACTGCACTCCCCATTCCTTGCTAAGTGTTCTCACCAGTGGATTGCAGGGCCTGAACTATTAAGTCTGTTCCCATGCATTCCTCATCTCCAAACCTTCAGCTGCTTTTTTTCACAGTAGGACAGCCTCAGCAGTATCCCAATGGCAGCCTGGGCATTCCTTACCAGCCTCAGCTCTCCAACTTCCCAGGTAAGTTCTCCCAGAAAATAGAGAAATGTTACATAAAAACACTATTACCAGTGACTACTTTGGAAATAAATGCATGCTTTTATCACCTGCATCCAGTGGGATGACTTTAAGTCCCTTCTGAGTCCTGTTTAGTCTGAGCATCCCACAGGATGTGAGCTGGCAAAAGGCTTCATAGTTTCTACCAGCTAAAATTCAGGTTCCTTCCCACTTACTGTGCAGTTCTGATTACCATCCCCAACCACTTCCCCTGCTACCTATACTTGCAATTTAGGTATCCAATCCATATTGAAAAATCCCAGGCCGAAAAACAGGGATCTAAGAGGCCACCTTTCTTTAGTCCTGTACCAGATCTGTGGCCTTAGAAACTTAAGGCTATACACCTTGAACACAAATAATACTGTAATCTTTATAAGACCATGAGATGCCATTGAAATGGAAGTATGCTAAATGCCAAGAAAAAGGAGTCAAAAAAAGCACACAATGCTCCTTCAGCAGACTACAGGAAAAAATGTTTGCTGGCCTGCTGCAGCCAATTAATATCTCTCAGTACCATTCAGCCACACTCAAAAGAAACATGGTTCAGAGAGCAGCTTACACATTTTCCTCAAATTCTAGTACATTGAATTGTTGAAAAATTTTTAGACATTTTCTCTCTATTCTTGGGTTATACCTCATGGACAAATAACTGCAGATCCATACAGCAGTTGAGTAGCTTCTTCACCTGTATTATAGAGATCAAAAAGCTGTATGATAGTGAGCCTTACTAAAGAGGGGCAGTGCATTCCCTGGTTCCTCCCAAATGCTGAGCACTCTGGTTTTCTCTGCTGCATCAAGCAAACGAAGACCAAGTGACACAGTTCACATCTATCTCTAAGACTTCTCCTTCAGATATTCAGAGGTTTGGGGGATTATCCCAGCTACTAATGAGAGTGCTCATCTTAGGCAATAGGAAAAATACTAGTATAGGGAAAATAGGGAAGTGCTTGGTAATCACAACAAATGCTGTTCAAGGGCAGAGTGTAAATATATGGATAAAAGAGCCAGAAATTAAAAAAAAAAAAAAACCAAAAAAAAACAAAAAAAAACTACTCTGCCATCTTGTAAAACACGCAAACTCTTTGCTTTCGGGGGCTCTGGCCATAGATGTAAACAAGAGCCTGAAGGAATTCGCATTAAAAATTGTGCCTCTTCTTGCCGTGCTTAGCACAGTGACACGATGGAAATCTCGCACTGGGCTTGCGAAGCTTGCGGCTTGTGGCAGGCTGACAATGGCCACGCCGAGAGGACGCGGCCACGGCAGGCAGCGATGGCTGCCGAGCGCTCCCCGCCGAGCGCTGCTCCGGAGCCGCTCCAGAGCGGGCTGGAAGCGCTGGATGCGGCCGCTGGGGTGAAGAGCTGCCCGAGAGGGCACAGCCCACCCCAGCGACAAGAGCCGGGGCTCTTCAGGGGGTGTCTGCTGGATTCTCTGTGCTACTGACACATAAAAGGGAGGCCATTCCTGCTCAAAGGGCTTTTTACTGCGGGGTTGTGATTTCCCCTGAGCGCAGGCTCTGCCGCCCGCCCCGCACGGGCGCGTCCTGCAGTGCGCGGGCACAGCCGCTCCCGCACGGCTCCGCACGGGGCTCGGGCGCTGCCTGAGCCGGGACTCCTCCCAAAATGTCCCCGGACGTGCCACAGCTGCTGCTACGGGACGAGCCGGTGAGGCGGTCGGTCCCTTTACCCCACAGGCACCAGCTCCCTTCCCTCCCTCCCTCTGAGTCCATGCCGGTGGAGCCGCGGAGCAGCTCGCATCCCTGCTCCTACAGACGGCGCCTGCCGGCAGCCGAGCATCCCTCCCCTCCGAGCACCCACACCGCCTCCGCCATGCGCAGGGGCGGTTCCCTTTGTCCCAGGCTCCGGAGGTTCCCTCCCGCCCTGCCCGCTCGGAGCGGGGGGACCGCGGGCTCGCACCCACCCCGGGCGGGCGGGGCGGGACCCCCGGCAGCGCCGCGTCCTCCCGCGCCACCTGCTGGAGGCCGGCGGCGCTGCAGCGCTGCTCCCGGCAGGGCGGGGCCGCCGCCCCCGGCCCAGCCCCTCGGCCCAGCCCCCGGCCCAGTCCCCCCTACCCATCCCCCTGCCCGGCCCCTCAGCCCAGCCCCCGGCCCAGTCCCCCGGCCCAGCCCCTCGGCCCGGCCCCTCAGCCCGGCCCCCGGCCCAGTCCCCTGGCCCAGACCCGGCCCCTCAGCCCGGCCCCCTGCCCGGCCCAGTCCCCCGGCCCGGCCCCTCGGCCCGGCCCCCTGCCCAGCCCCTCGGTCCAGCCCCCGGACCAGTCTCCCGGCCCGGCCCCTCAGCCCGGCCCCTCAGCCCGGCCCCTCAGCCCGGCCCCGGCCCAGTCTCTCGGCCCTGCCCCTGCCCGGCCCCCGGCCCTGCCCCCTGTCCAGCCCCCATTCTCTGTCGAGGAAAAGTCGCTTCCCGAGGCATTTGCGAGCTGTGGTTTGGGCTCACCCCCCCCGCCCCCGTTTCCTGTTATCTCAGCCGGGCTTTGCAGCCCCGTGCGCTGGGCGGGGCGCGGCGGCTCCCGTTGCCCGTGTCCGTGATCCCGAGTTTCTGCAGCACGGGCTGCTGCTGCTGGAAAGTGCCTCTAAGGAGTGGCTTTTCTTAAAGGAATACAATAGGCTTTTCTTAAAGGAAGGCAATATGTCTCCTGCCGGTTTTTGTGTAACCCATGATGTGTGTGCATCCCACCGGGGAAGGAGGACATCAGGTAAGGACAGCAGGCTGCCTCTGTCACCTGTACACACTCTGTGGAATCAGCAATGTTGAATTTTATCCAGAAGATTTGCGTAGCTTAAAGCGAAGGCAAGCTGTCCCATCCAGGAGGAGCAGAAATAACAGGGAATCCAGCCTGAACTTCACATCCCGAGCCGTCTGCAAAGCTGGTTTTCTTTCCCAGACGTTTTCTCTGGAGTCACAGAGAAGCCCTGAACAATGAGCACCAAGATGCTGGGAAAGACCCCTGTTCTTTGCAAATAAAGATGTATCTCAAAAAGAGTCTGAGCATAGATTCTCACCTCAGACTATTCAGTTCTTTCTTTGCTACTTACAAAACATCCTCTCTGTCTGAAAGCAGGAACTGCATAGCCTTCCCACTGGGAAGAGCCCTTGGGCTGCCACTTCAGCAGGAGAACCTAGGAAGCCTGCAGCAACTCTCCCCAGCTGAGCAAACACAGGAACCTCTTGATACAGGAAAATGAAAAAAGCAGAAGGACAGCTTTTCCCATGCCCCTCCCTGGCTTCATGCCTAGGCATGATGAAGATAAATTACACACGTACATGCAGCTGTGAGCAGGAGCAGGGAAGAAATTTTCTGTGCACCAATGCATGACAAGGTCACAAATGAAACATTCCCTTAGCTTACACAGACAATATTGCTCAGCTGTGCAGTGCTGTGGATTGACCAAAACAATCTAGCAGTCTCTATTTAAGCAGTATCCTCCTCTATTTCATCCCAGTCCAACTCCCACTTACATAAAGAACAACAACACCCTAGAGCTATTTACTCAAGTGTTCTTGGAGAGGAGGTGATTATTATTGCTGGTAGCTCTCAGAAGAAATGTATGTGAGATAAGATCTAAGGAGAAAAGGAAAACGAACAATGGTCATTTGGAAACAGACTGTTCTCTGAGGGTGATATTTTCAAGTGTTGACTTGTGGGGGTCAATTAGAAGCTGAGTGGGAAGAAGGTTGATACAAATAAAATACACACAATGAGAGGCTTGACTGAAGGTGAAAAGTTTATGGGCTTTCTCATAAAATTTCCACTGCTTCTTTGTTACAGGCCACATTGGAAAGATCATATGAACAGCTTATCATGAAACAGTCCATGTCACTGTTTTCTCATCCTGATAGAAAGCAGAAGAATCCATGCTTATTTTAAGCAAAGTTTTGAACCCAAAGGTGGAGGGAAGTTTTAAAAGTAACATCTTTGATGAGAATGAAAGAGAAAACATCATTGCAGAGTGGCATTATGAATACAGAAAACACCATTTGAAATATCTACAATTCACGGCTGTTAAACCAGGCATTCACTGTCGATTCCTCCTTTTCCCATTTTTCTTTTTGTGCTAATCTCATCTGCATGGCTAGAGCCTGCAGGGTGCCTCACACACCTGTGGTGACACATTTCATCCATCCTACCCTGTTCCTCGAAGGCTCAGCTCTGAAGGAGAGCCTGCTGCCTGCTGCCAGGACAGCAATGAAGGGGACGCCTGCACAGATGGGCTCCAGCCTCAGCCAGGACATGCACAGATGAGGGGCAGCCAGAAACTGTTTCTTAATCAGTTTCTGTTTAAGAATCTCAGCTGTGATTTGCCTTTCAAGCCACAGGCAGGTAGCTAACTCCCCTCTGAGCTCCAGGAGCTCTGGGAGGGCCCCAAAAGCAAGTAAAGGAATGTCATGGGCCTGTGGGGTTTGCATAAGGCTGCAGGTGGGGATTTAATGTTCACATAACCTTTATCAGCCTTCAACATTGCAGAAGGACCTGCCCAAAAACCTTTGAATAAATTGAACAGTAAATTCACAGAACAGGATATTTATGTTTCATTACTGGGTCTGCTGTATTGCTGTCTGATATATTTCAGCCTCTGAGCTTCAGTTTTCCCCAGAAAACTGCAGAACAATATTTCTGTTCTTCCTTTTTTGCATATGGCATTTTCTTAATGCAGTTTTCAAGGATCAAAGCTGTGGTCAGAATTCCCAGTATGACAGTGTTCTTTTTTTGTTAAGTACCTGACACCACACCTAGTGCACATTTTGGCTAGGTTGACATCCTTTCTTCTCTTTTGTGGTGGAATATCAGTTTGATCCATGTGACGCTTCAGGATATGATTGATCTAAATGTTTGTTTTTATAGAGCGTGTGCACTACTGCAATATCCAGATATAATGGGCAGTAATTAGGAATTAATTTGAACAAGGTATAGTAGAGTTTATTAAAGAAATTATTGGTTTGTAATTAAAGATACAAATTGAAAAGATACTTTTGCATTTATTCTAAAGAAACAAGCAATGCAAACACCAAAATAATCAGCTTTGTTAGATCATCTTGGTTGTACTAAAAAAGTAATTAAAACCCAACTGTGTTCTTTATATCACTAATGGGAATCTTCAAATTAATCAGATACTTTTTTTTGCCTGTTTTGCAATTCAAGCCACATAGTCAGATTTTTGAAAACTGAAACTTAATTCTCTCTTTCAGTGAATTCTCTCTTTCAGTGGCAAAGGTGGATGAAATAAAGACAAGGGTTTTCTTGAACTGAAAAGTTTATTGAACATCAAACACTTTTTCAGCAGAGACACATTCATATTTCCTGGTTGAGAGGTAGAAGCAATCAAATTATGTAATAAGCCAGGCACTGTTGTTTAGTGAAGCTTCTGTTGATTTGAGTAGGTTCTGTATGATGCTGTTAGGCTACTTATGTGTGAAAATTACATACCCTGAGCCACTGCTTAAAGACATATATTTCCAAAAGTCTGGTTTAAACATAAGCCAAAGAAAGGAAGTTCAACAGGGATATTTGGAATTTATCTGTATTTTGGGGGGATTTTTGAACCTTAGTTTTGTGACCAAGAGTATGGACATGCTCAGATCCAATCTGCTTATGAGCAGCTTCATCCAGGATATCATCATAGCCAGGGAGGCAGATAGAGAAAGAGACTGCCAGTGAAGAAACAGTCGAGCCTGTTCTTTTCTTTTATTTAGAAGTGTTAGCACATCTTAAGACAGCAGACAAAGTCTGTGCAGCAAATGCATGCACCATGCCTCTTCTGAATGGATTTCTTCTTCCAGGGAAACATACATAGAAAGTAAACGTCAGTAGGAGCTCAGCTGGACTCTTCCTGGCCAATAGCTGTTGTATGACTGCAGCATCTTATGCTCAAGGACCATGGTAATGACCACAGTAATGACCACATTTGTTTGTTTGATAGAAGAAAACCTTTTTGTATTCAATTAGATGGCTAATTCACTGGGGCATGTTCAATGTGATGGAATTTGCCCCCAGTTGCAGCATCTGGAAGTTAACAATACAGAATGAGTGAGACTTAGAGGTGCCAGGGTGTCTCTGCTGCCAGTGAGAGCAGTGTGGGCAGTGTGACTGGTGCTGGCTGGTGCTCAGCACACACAGCTGGGAACGAAGTCTCCAGGCATCCATTCAGGTGCTTGTAAACAATATATTCCTCTTGCTCCTCTAATGATGGATGATTTCTTCTTCATTCTGCTAGAATAAGGTATTTATTGACCAACATCATCTTGTAAATGTTCCTGCTCATTGCAGGGGCGTTAGACTGGATGACCTTTAAAGGTCCCTTGGAACCCAAACTATTCTGTAATTCTAGGATTTACCTTCTTGCACCACCTCCAGATTTGTGGGCATTGCAAAACCTTTATTAGAACTGCTGTAACTTGCAATACATTAGTAGCGTGCAACTCAAATTTCTTCTGTTTAGGATAGAGCATGGACTGGAAGCCAAGGAGTGAGTAACAGTACATTTCAAAACAAATAAACCCATAAATGTAAGTCAAGACAATTAATGCTAAGGCATAATCAATCCTATTTGACCAGTGAATAAATTCACTAAGCAGCTAACAGAGAAGAAACTGGAATTCCTTTATGCATACAAGAAGAAATCTATTACATAGAGGTTATGGAGCTTCTCTCCCTTTGGGTTTGTGAGGGAAATAGCCTCACTATTAAATATTTTCTATTTCATTTACATATTTATATTCTAATCTTATATGAGGCAGTTACCCTAGGAAAGTAACCCAAGTGATAAATCTGGGCAGAGAAACCTTAACCTACACCTTGGTTTTCTTCCCTAGGAATCATAGTGTTTACTGCACTGCTAATGAAGGAGCTGAGCTGGAAAAGGAGCTTTGAGCATGTGTATGAGATGATAGCAACCATTTGTCCTTGCTTGGGTCAGTCCACTCTTATCCCTGAATTTTAATAACTAGCCTTCCAGTGGGGCAGGATTTTTGCTAAGATAGAAGATCTTGTCCTTATATTTGTTTTCCACATAGATACTCTCTTTTCTTGGGTGTTCCTTTTTAAGATGGCTTCAGATTTCAATCACTACAATATGTCAGGGTCTCAGATGATTTTTTTTTTTGTTTCTGTACGAAATGGGAAAGACTTTGCTGTTTGGTTTTGTTTGGTTATTTGTTTTGTTTTCAAATCCCAATTGCATGGGGAGAGACCAAAAGCACAGAGATTTTACAGCTCAAACACAGTGAGGTGCCCAACTCCTACATGGCAGAAATTCCTCTGTGTGTTGGAGGGTCTGAGCATGACTTGGTTGGAATCACACAGAAAGCACGTGGCTGACTGGGGAATCTGGACAATGAATTGGCCTCCTGTGTCTCCAGTGAAAACAGGCTTGGTATGCCTGCACTGAACAGCCCTCCAGCAGCAAGAGGTGAAGATAAGTGACCAGGGGGATTTGGAGAGGATGCTACATCTCAGCCTAGGGCTGAGAGTAGCATCCTCTCCAAATCCTTTCATGAGTCTAACCTGATCCTCTCTGTCAGCATAGCAGTACCTTATGGCATGAATTATTAGATTGTACTGAGAGGACACAGTTCATTGGTAGAAATTAAAATCCAAAATAGAACTGCATTTTCAGGATTTGTGAGGCATAGAGAAAGGAAAGTGGGTTCATACCAAACATTTTTTAAGACAAATATATTGATGCCATTACTCCCTGCTTCTGACTCAGGGCCCACAGTGTATGTGTATGAAGTGATGAATTTTTCCTGACTGCACTTGCTGAAAGAAATTTTTAAATCTTCACTTTAAGCATAAGAGCACATCTGCTACAGTCTTTACGCATCTTGCTTTTCCTTTTAACCCACAAAATAGTCCCTTTAAATTTTAATTCTAAAGACTCAGTATAAGAAAAGTTTTTTAAATGGGACATACCTTTTGGACATTTTAATGGAACAAAATCTTTTCTAAAGATCTGCTGTAGAGCTGGTCCTGTTTTATTTAGCAAAATAGACACAGCATTACCCATTTTTGGGGTTTTTCTTCTTTGTAGCACAAATAGCTCAAAATTAAATTCTTCGAGCATTAGTGTGACAAGGGGGCAAAAATGCACCATCAGTCAACTACTACCCATAGGAAACCTACAAAGATGTTTATTTATAAAGCAAACACCTTGCACTTTCAGAGACAAAGCCTGAATTAACAATTGCAGTCTCAAAATGCCTTAAACTGAGGGGTTTTGCATTCCTTAGGACAACTAAAAAAGTGAATTCTAAAAGAAAAGTTCATGCATTGAGACCATTCTGCTACTAGGTGCTCAAGACACAAGACACAATCAGGACTGTTACCTCTAGATCACCAGCCTGCACTGACATTCATCCTGGTTAGACAGTGTGCCATGCACTTAATAAAGGTCCTCTTCTTTCTCCCCTGCAATCTTGTGTAAACTGTCACTTCTCCAGAGCTTTGCAAAGTGTGAATCCAAGCATGCAAACTCCTAAGGATACCACAGGAACTTGTACCAGCACAATCCAGCTACCACATTAAGGTCAGGCCTGGAGTTCCCTGTCCTACTGCTGGGGACACCAGTCACCAGTAAACTCCCAAATCATCTGTTCATTCAGGGACACAGGAAAAGAGAGTTCACTTGAGTGACAGGACATACCAAGATTTACATATATTCCAGTACTATTAAGTACTGAAACATAGTAAAAGCCTTTGGAAATGAGATATATAGGGGTCTCCACCAGCTGAATTTGTGTTGAAGTCGACAGCTCAAAATTAAGTCTGTAGCAGAAAGAAGAATAGAAGCCCTGCC